TATATATATATATATATATATATATATATATATATATATATATATATATATATATATGAAAAAAGCTTCTATCAGCCCAGTATAAGTCCAACAGCCTAGATTGAATTTAGGTCGATCCAGTGATCACGGTTGTATTTTTTAATTGAATTTTAATTTTTTTCTACAAATCCAAATCACTTGAAATTTGGAGCGTACATTTTTCAAAAATAGTGAAATCTAATAAAAATATCAAAAAAATAATTTGTATAAAATAAATTAATTAAAATACCCCTTAAAATTTTCAAAGGCATTTTCGTAAATTTATTTTATGTAAATTATTTTTAAAAATATTTTTGTTAGGTGTTCCTTAATGAGAAGTATTGATGCTCTAAATTTCATATTATTTAGATTTATCTAAAAAATATTAAAATTATAGTACCAAAATACAGTCCTGACTGTTAGATCGGCCCAATTGGGCTTATACTATTCCATCAGTTGGTGGGTTGATATATATATATATATATATATATATATATAATATATATATATAAAAAGACCAAAATACCTTCGAAACATTTTAGGGGCATTTTGGTCAATTTATTCTTCAAAAAAAATTGATATATTATTAGATTATCCTATTTTTGAAGAACACACGAATAAAATTTTAAGTTATTTTGATTGGTAGAAAAAAATAAAAATAAAATACAAAATGAGATCGTGACAGTCAGATCGACGCAGATTCAATCTAAACCGTTAAGCTTATATGTTCATATGAACTAGTGGGCTAATCCCAAAATTTTCTTTTATATATATATATATATACACGTTTGTCTATACTTAACTGGATGGCCCGATGAAGGTAGTAAGTATGGCCTCTTAAGTAATCTATTCTCTTTTGGTCGTTAAGAGCCTCCTTAAGAGGAATTGACGCATTGTTACGCTCAGCTGTGCCTGTTCACAGAAGGATCATACATATTTACAACTGAACAACATATAAAATACAAAACTAAGAGATACAAAGAAATGAACCAGAAACAAAAAGGGGGGACAGAGAAAAAAAATAAAAAATAAAAGTGAGAAAAAAAGGGCTAACGACAAAAATCGAAGAGATAACATTAGGGTGAGAGAGACAGAGATGGTACCATTTTCTGTGATGTAAATGGCAGGACTGTTGTATCTCTTCTTAATGTAAAGTAGAAGTTTTTCGAGTCCCTTTGGATATACATGTATAAAAGAGGCAGCCGCCTGAAAATTTTACCCCCCTACATATTAGCATGTTTTTTTTATCGAAGTATATCACTTAACAAATTCACCAAAAAAAAAAAATGCTAAGAAAACTAATATTTGGAAAATAATACAAGCATTTTGCTCAAAATTTGAATTAGATCATCGTATTGTAAACACTTTGCCGAACCCAGGTCTAGAACCGAACAAAAACATTTTGAAAACACAATAAAAAAATATAAAAAATATGTTTATATGTTACATGAGTAATGATCCTATAGGACCTTCCCCCACCCATTTGTGTAGGACTTTAAAGGATTACCATTAAAGTTGGTACGGGTCTCTAGAAAGTTATCACATGGGTGTGAGACTTAGACTTTTTTATAGATCTATGCCAAATTTAATGGTGATCTTTTGGGGTCCTATCCACATAAGTGGGGGAGGGTTCTGTAGGATCATTTCTCATATTTATAAATCCAAAAAAAAAAATGTTTAGGCTCACAAAGGACAAGTGGTGGGTCCAAAAGGATATAGTTAGAAGCAGTGAGAAAGTTATGGGGACTTATGACCATACTGAAGATATAACGCTTAGTAGAGCTGAATGGCGAATCAAAGTTTATATAACACACACCAAATAGTTGGAAAAAAGCTTTGATGATGATGATTTAAAAAAAAAAAAAGATTCAAACACACATATGCATCATTTATTTTATAATATTTAAAAAATAATATATATATATATATATATATATATATATATATATATAGACACGACCACGACTTCCCACCCCTACTACTAAATGCCTTAAACGAATCTTTGTAAGATTAGAGACCTCACCTGAGGGCCAATTAATTTGCCATTCCTCACCGCTGTTCACACAAAAGAAATGAAACTTTGAATATCTATTTCTTTTTCGTATAATAAGTTGGAGAGAGAGAGAGAGAGAGAGAGAGAGATACCCGTTTGGTTACTTTGAGAGTCAGTGTTGTAGCTTAGTATATTACTCTTACGGGGAGCATTGAGCACATAATTGGAAGTGTAGTAATTTATCCCCAAGAAATCATATGATCCCTTCAACATCATTGACTGCTCATTAGTGAATCTGGGCAACCTTCCTCCAACCAAAGCTCTCATGCTCAAAGGATAATCACCCATGTTAATTGGATCCCAAAACCTAAATAAAAACAAAAACTTATATTGGAAATATATTGAAAAGATAGTTTTATTACTTTATTTCATTTTTTGAATGTTAATTTTTATTGTCCTTGTAAGGCTAAATTATTTTCTAGGCAAATCCATAATCAAATGCATTGACAAGAGAAATCAAACCATCCAAACTCAAAATCAAGGGCTCTTTGTGCAGCATCCTTATTGGATCTTGAAGAAGAGTAAGGAATCATCCAACTGGTATCGAGGGTTATGCCAATCACCCCCTTTTGGTGGGCCTACACAGTCAAATTAATAAAAAATAATGGGTGTGAAATTACAAAGGAAAAGCATACAGAACAATTAATCTTGACCATTAGATGTGAGATTAGATGACTGCATTTATTCTATTGACTAACCTCAGACGTCAAAAAAAAAAAATTTCTCGAACTTTGTGACATACCCAAACTATCAGATTTCATATTGAATGGTTGTAAATAATTGTGTCTTCTTTGTATCAAAGGTAAAAGGTCTATTTGTATACAATCCCAATTAAAAATGATAAATAGCTCAATTCATAGAATAGACTTATAAAAAAAGTTTATATAAGATTTACAACTTAAATCATTGTTATGAATCTTATGTTACTTATAGAACTTATTAATAGTGAGATCAAGGGAAGATGAACTAATAGTATGTTAATATTGAATATGTTAATGATGGCTTTAATTCCCTTTTTTTATTTAGAAATTTTTTATCAAAATACCCATGAAAGATGAATTATTTAATGTTTCTCCCTTCCTACACTTCAACTTAATTTCAATATACCCATCAAATGACACATGATTATGAGTTGGAATAGTTGCAAATGGGTAGTTTGATAAATTTCCCTTTTATGTATTTTTTTTATGGAAAACGGCTATTTTTTATACTTTCTTATTTCTGATATGAAAAATATATTATAAGCCAGTAGTATTTGCAGTATATAAAAACATAATTTTCGAATACACACTAAAATGCTTACTTGATATTTCTCTTTGTACAACTTCACCGCTGATGCATGTGAAAGGAGAAGGTGATGGCCAACGACATACGGTTCAGTACCGGAATTTCCTTCCGTACAGTTCCCATCAGGGTACGAGCAACGCCCCGGCGCAAAAATCCCGGCTGCATAACCTCCAAACGAATAGATATGTGGTTCATTGAAAGTAATCCAATGTTTCACTCTGTCTCCAAATTCTCTAAAGCATATGTCGATGTAGTCTATGTAATCTTTGCTGTTTAGATCAAAACAAATAGATTCTGAAGTGGTATGAGTTACTATTACTCAATGATTAATATATTACAAAAATAATATTTTTCTTTAAAAATAAACCACAAAATTAATAAATCCACTATTTACAACTTATTCTATCATTATCTATGTAATTTGAAGAGTTGTGAACTTTATATTATATTATTTTTTTTATTGTTCAATAAAGTAGTATTGGTATCATTTTTCCTTTTTTTAATATCCCATAAGATATTACTTCTTCTATTTTTAATCCCAATGAGTTAATTGCCTAATATTAATGTCATGAGCTATAATACAAGAGACAATGAAGTTTATTCATTATAATATAAGAGACGATAAAGATTTGGGCCATCATTATGCTTTTTAATTGAAAATAGTTAAAGATTGCAAATTTAAAAATTGAAAACATCGCAACCGGTTGAAGCGTCCAATACCGGTCCAGAACTGGCCAGTTTTATGGGGACTCCACCGCGATATATTATGGGATCCGGATTGAGCATGGAAAAATCTAATCTAAATCGCGCAATTCCAATCTGAATTACCGATTTTTCAAACATTGCTTTTGCTAATTGCGATATTACTCAATGGTAAACCCCAAGCTCAGTAAATTAGATGGTAGAGAGCGAGAGAGAGGTTTACACAATGTTGGGGCTCAAGAATCCGCCGTAGGCATCCTCTAGAGCTTGGGGAAGATCCCAATGGTAAAGTGTCACAAACGGTTGAATACCTGCAACATATCACATGCATTGCATTTCAAATGAATCACACAATATCACATACACAGAGAGAGAGACAGAACCATTGGCTAGGAGTTCATTGATGACATTGTTGTAATGGTCGATCCCTTCCCTGTTCACACCTCCTTTCAAGGAACCCTCTGATTTAGAAAAATAAATAATTATTTACCTTTTGAAAAGCAAAATTAAATAGCTACACACTTTCTAGCTTTCTATTATCCACCAAAACCAAAAACAAATGAAAAACATTTGAAGCTCTAAGGACTCACTTGGTAGAATTCTAGGCCAACCAATTGACATTCGATATGAATCGAGCCCAATATATTTCATCAGTTTAATATCATCCTGCAACATCATGCAGATTCAATTAATATTTAAAGAAATCCTGCAAAACAAGTAATATATAGTAGCGTGTTTATTGTCAAAACAAAAAAGCAGCTTGTTTTGTAAATATAAAAAAACTATGGTAGAAAAGAAAAACAAACCTTGTAACGGTGATATTGGTCAATGGCAACGTCCGCGTTGCTTCCGTTCAAAATATTTTCTGCAACAGGATTGCCAGGATGTTATATCCAACGGCAAGCGCCTATACCCCCACCCCTTCTTACCAAACACAACGCACCTTATGTCCTCTTTCCAAAATTCCTCATAGGATTCCTTTTAAAACTTCGTCTATTTTTATTTTTATTTTTATTTTTATTTTTATTTTTATTTTTTATTTTTTATTTTTTATTTTTTTTAATTTGGACACTAGCAGCAAAAGGACGTGTGCACAAAAAATGGACCGATAATAATAATAACACAAAAATGAGAGGTTGGCAAACTTGTATAGTGCAGAGGCCAAGTAGCCTCAAGTTGTACAAAACTCGGGGTATATAAAAAAAATTAACAAAAACCTCAAACGGTAAAATATAGGAGAATATGGCGCAATTTCCAAAGATTGATGAATGCTTTTTACCATAATCCATATTTTACCTATTTTTTACATTTTTTAAAATAACACCCACTATAAATCAATTTTTTTAGATCTATTTTTTATAATTTTTAATCTTATTTGGATTTTTTAAGGTCACTTTTTGTTTTACTTGACTTTAAAGTTCTTTTTGGTTTTATTTTACTTTTAACATAGTTACTTTATTTTTTTCATATTTTTTATGCAAAGGGCATTTTTGTCATTTGATTTAGCTGTATTATATATTAGTATTTGATATTTGCATCTAGATTTTATCATTCTCAACCATATCTTTCGGTATATCGTTCACATCATGTAGACCTTGTCAATGACAACCATCCTCGGTTCAAATTACAGTGGAGCAAAAAGAAGACCGTAATTGTATGTATTTTCTAAATTTAATTTTTTATATAAATTGAAATGTTTAAAATTTGAAAGGTCCATACTTCTCAATCAGGGGCACATTAAAAATATAGAATAATAATTTGTTTTTTATACAAATTAAAATATCTAAAATTTCCAACGTTCACACTTCTCAATCAGGTGCGCATAAAAAATATGAAATAATAATTTATATAAAAATCATCATACAATCATAGCCGTCCATTTTCTTTCGTTATAATATGACTAATTGGGCATGATTGTCCACCATTTTAGTGTCCATGTATGATGTGATGTGGATGCTGTAGCATCCCATTGGCAAATATGCTTAATGTATGGACTATAGAGCCATGGACTAAAGGTCATTCTCATGAAAAAAAATCAGAAGGATTTGATTAAGGTTTCCTTGTGCATTATGTGGATAGAAATTCAACTGACAGTCACATGTTAACTACAATTGAAACAGGTTCGGAATTGAAAACTGTTGATGAGTCTCTCACACGTTTTTAGAAACTTGTTGCAAATTTCAAGGGATAATAAGCTTCCCATTATGGCCAAAGGTTTATTTTTAGGAAAATAGATTTAAAGTGGAACGCCATTAGTGGGTCGATGTAACTTTATTTACATAATTCATAGCAAAAAATTAACAAATAATTCTAATTAAGACATAATTAACAATACCCAATTGCTTTTCAATTCATATTTTCCAAAGGGTCACGAATAGATACATCCAAGAAGGATAAATAAAAAGATTGTAATGTGTAGACCTGGGTGTGTGTGAGCAAAGACATCCCACTGGCTCAAGCCTCTGCCTCCTTCTCTCACTGCCCCTTCATACTATTATACGACAATAACAAAAGCAAAATGTGTTAAGTTAAAAATCTGAAAAGTTTAAATATGGGGATTTATGGTCTCACTAAAGATATGGATCTTAATAAAGCAAAATGGCAGGTCAAATTTTATGTAGCCGACCACAATTAATTGAAAATAGACTTTGATAATCATTAGAAAGAGGTGCATGCATGAACCAGCTATATCATTTAATTGCAAAACAACGATTCAACAAAATAATAATTATAACATGGTCACAATGTTATCATGACAACCATGTGATATGGATCATCCACTTGTTTCCTAATAATAATTGCAAGAGCTCTACATAGGAGATGAAGGCTTGCTAGTGCAAGGGGAAAACCTCCACATACCACCTTTAAGGTGGGGTTGGCATGCTCTCCATGTACATGTGTTCAGAGAGGATTTTCACATCTGAAAAAGTGTACATAATGAAATTGGCATAACCTATCTCTTGGGGGCACTTGAAATCCATTAGTAATCCATTTATTTATTTGTTAACTTTGATAGATCAATCATTTTGTACAAGATACATTTTGATAAATGAGGAGTGTTACATTTTGATAAGTGAGGAGTGTTATAAGTTAGTACATAATCCCATGGCATACCGGACCCTTTAATATTTTTTTCAATATTTCAACCAACGTTTTGAGGAGAATAGATTATTTTTATTTTCCAAAGAGTTTGTGATTTTTTGTATTCTCAATGAAGAGGAGGATTGTTTTTGGAATTATAATTTTCACTTTTCAAGGAACAATTTTGGAATTAACAAAATGGTATGTCCTCTACAGAAATATAAATTTTTAATCAATGGGTTTAGCTTGATTAGGCACTTGTAGTGCATGCATGAAACGAAGTGATAATGTGTGCCCAACTACCGAACAGAGGAAGATGAGAATCAGATGGGTCCACTGACCATGTGACCTTCACATGAATTTTTAAAGCCTCTCTGTCTCTCAATTTGGATTGAGCGGACTGATATCTTTTTTTTTCTTTTCTCTTTTTGTTTTGTTTTCTCTCTTTTTTTTTAAAAAAAAACAATGGTAAGACTGATATCTACAAAGGGGTGCACATGTGAGAAAAGAGAAGATCATAGAATACTGGGAGAAACCCTAGAGGAGAAGGAAAAACACATAATGACAAGGATGAAATTTTCTTCTCCATCCTCATCAGATCCTCAAACGAAGTTTGACAGAGAACTTTGCCTAAGTTATACTTTGCATTGATGATGGTTGTGCCACTTAGTAGTGTATTAAGTCCTTGGCGTTAATGAAAAGCATTTCTCATGGTTTGTTTATCTTTTTATTTTGTTTATAGTCATTAAGAAAACATGGCAACAGCCTCGTTTTGGGTGTCATCCTGTACTATTTTCATAATATATCGTGTTGTAGTGATTATAAATATAAAATCATATATAAAATGGTCTTGTCGGTAGTATTGATTAAAAGTGCTGGAATAATTCATTGAATTTCTTCACCTATCACGCATTACAATGGCTACCCATTATTGCCGTTACCTGCATTGTCTGAGGTTGATGCTTTATACAAACCATACCCATACATAAAATAAAAACCATTATTAAAAAGTTTCCAAGCTTTTGCATATTACAATTATTACAATTATTGAATGTGAATGTAACCAAAATGATTGAATTTTAATTAAAAGCTTTTTGTACTTCCCCTACCCTACTGTATATAACTCCTACTACATATAAGTTATATATCCCCCTGCTGCCCTCTCTCATCCATCCATCCATCCAAATTAGTTCAAGCAAGTCATTGACCATTTGATCTAGATCAGCCCGTTTTAGATTATTTTATTATAAATTATTTTTGAAAATTATATGAATATGAAATTTGATATGTGCTATCATCTCAATGGGCTACATTTTAAAAAAAATTGTAAAAAATATTTGTAAAAAAATAAAATAATCAAAATACCTATAAAATTTTTAGAGGTATTTTAGTTTCTTTTTCATTGATAAATGTTTTCATATTTTTGGTAGGTGTGAGTTTAAGATAGGAGTGGATGACCAAAATTGGTGTCAAAATGTTTAAAAAAAAAAAAAAATAGTGTAAATGCATGACATTGTGATTGGGGGAAGCATGTAAGTTATATGGTAGGGGAAGTATAGAAAACTTTCCCAATTTTTATATAGTCTTAATAGTGGAGTTTGAAATAAATGAAAGGCCTTCCCAACATTTCTTCAAAGTAAATATTTAGAAAAAGAGCAAAACTATTAAGAAAAAGAGACGGTTTTTATGAGTCCATGTAGAAATGAGTCCCAACTTAATCTATTTTTGAGACGGACTTTTGGACCCAATTTTTATGGAGATATAATTGGAGATAATGAATATGGATAATTAAATGATTTTTTAAAATAAAAATAACAGTTTTATAAATAAAACATTTAAATTGTTAGTTTCATTTATTTTTAGATGGATTGCCCATTTGCATCCATCTTTAAAACGAGTGCTTTATACCTCTGGGGACACAAATGCAGCAATGCATCCGGTGACTCGTGAAACAATTTTCCTTAAGAAAATCAGCATTTAAAAGGTCCACCATCTAAAAAATTGTGCCTAGGAGGGAAAAGGACTGGATATTCAGAATTATTTAATCCACAAAAAATAATAGATTGGGAGATGATGAAATGTATTCATTTCAGGTCAAAACATTATTCATAAGAAATAAAATTATTCATAAAAAATATTTTATTATGGCATCAGAGATGACGAATTCTCTATTCAACTACAAATACAGCATGGAAAGAAATTCAACTGGAAATTAACAAACCACAAGCCTTAATGGTGCTTCCTAACAACTAAATCAAAATACATTTTTGTTTCTTTTTAAGTGCTTGTAGGTCTAAAATCCCTTATTGAAAAACCCAACTAACAACAACAATGTCAACAATATTAGTAGACTAGAAGTAATAGTAATAATTTTTCCACAACAAAGAAAGAAAACCTCCATTTTCAATAAGAGAAAGTATATAATGAGACTATTTACTTTTGGTACAAGGTGGTCACAACTAATCATGGCCATTGGATGTGAAATTATGTGGCTGCATTTATTTTATTGACAAAGCTCAAAGTTCAAAAGAAATTTTTTTGAACTTTGTGACACGCCTAAGCTATCAAATTTCACCTCGGATGGTTATAAGTAATTGTGACCTCCATGTACTAAAAGTAAATGGTCTCATTGTATACAATCCCTTTCAATAATGGACAACTGAGGTTGTGATTGATAGTCGACAAAACTATTTTAGACAAACATTGAGTCGCAAAACATCACAACTCAACCATTCGTGGTTAATGGTTGATGAGCTGCTAGTATACTATTTAAAATGCCTATGCTATAATAGTATGTAATCCCTTTTACTTCCAATGTTTTAAAATCGACAAGCTGGCTCTGAACGGACTGGTATGACTCCCCCAAATAATCAAGGTCGCAATTGATTCTCCCTAAAAAACAATTTTTTAATGAGATTTGAACATTATCAGTATTTTTGGAGTGCATTTAGAGTTAAATTGATAATCAAATGGAATTTCAAGCCCAAACATGTGAAAACTTTGTTCTTTATTTTGAAAAAATAGTATCGGGTTGGCTGATTTAGTTCAAAACCAGAAGTTGACCCAAGTCATTGGGGATTGGAGCCCCACCCTTTGATGATAATAGAGTCTAAGACTTCGTCACATAACTCGTTGGTACTACTACGAAGGCCCCAGCCCATTCTCAATTCCTAACCCTATAAGCAATATAATAGATGCGGTGTTGCCACACTTGCAACAACAACAATCACGACAATATCAACAAGAAGAAATGTACCTGATAAGCTGAGGATGCAGCTCCAAAGATGAAACCAGGTGGGAAACTGCTTCGATTTAAAGCCTCAGAAAAAGGGAAGGCAATGACAATAAGGGAGAGAAAGATGAAGGCGAGGAGAGAAAGGTGCAAGGCCATTGCAAAACCTGAGTCCAAGTCCTCGGTATGATTTGCACCCCAGCATCATGGCTCCTTATATAACCATGGCCGATGGCCTACCAAACGAGGGCAAAAAGTCGTTTGTCCAAAATAGTAAAAAACCGGAAAAAGTCCACATCCATTATCCTCCTCATTCACTATTATTTTAATTTTACCTATTAGGATTACCAGAGAAATGATCTTATAGGACCCTCTTCCACCCATATGTGTAGGAATCCAAAAGATTACCATTAAATTTAGCATAGATCTATAGAAAAATCAAATCCCACACCCATGTGATAACTTTTATAAAGATCCATACCAATTTGACTGGTGATCCTTTGGGGTCCGACACCTATGAGTGTGGGATGCCTATAAGATCATTACTCTAATTATTATAAGGGTGTGGTTTGTATAGAGCTGAGGCTCTAAACAATCAAAGTAAAATGCACCTTCAAATAATGTCGAGAAATGTGGTTTCAATATTGGAAATCTTTGTAATAGCCTCAAACCATATTTTTATGTTGAATTATAAAATGTAAAGCTTTTAAAATAGTGTAGATCAAGCAGATCTATAAAAACTTAAAAATCTTGAAAATAGACGATCAAAAAATGTGTTACGAGATGCACTATTTTCAAAACTTGAAATCCATTTTTGTCTCATGTCCATGCATCTTGATGTCAAGATGATCAATTTGAAAATATTTGAACATCAAAACAACCTCTTCTAATGAAAATTTTGAGGTAGGGTCTAATTTGAATTTTTAGAGCCTCGATTCTATATAAATTTTTCCCTTATTATAACAACAAATCTTTTGATCTTCAAATAATTTAGAGGTTTGAATTTTTATTTGATATTTATCAACACGTCTCCTATAAATTATTTATTTTAAACGTTGTCCGTTGGTGTGTCCTGTTCTTCTTTCCTCGTGGTATCTTAATAAGGAAGAGTGGACTTTTTAGTGTCCATTTTAAATAACTAAATAATATCAAGGGGAAGAAGTGTAAATGTTTCTTTATTTTAGAATATTTAACCATATTTTAAAAATTTCTAAGTTTATGTGAATGTCTTTTTTTTCCCATTTTAATTATCTTCAACATACTCGGGTTCGGAAGTCCAAGCTCTGGATCGACCTGCTGGCCTTATTCATTTGTGTCAAAAGCTTAAAGTTCAAAACTTAAATTTTAACAAAAAAAATATATGTTTTCAACTTAAATTCTAAACATCTTTTTCATTTTAAAATTAAGTTTCAAATTCTAAGTTTTTGTTCATCAACATCATTATTTTAACCTTTTTTCAATTAATTAAAATCGACTGCATGAAGTTTGATTTTTTATTCTGCTTTATTAAAAGCCTTATCCTTACTGAAGCTATAAGTCCCCGTATCTTGAAATTTGTTAACCTGATCTTATTGTTTCACAGAAGGAACCTTTATTAGTACAATCTACATTTCGTGAAACAACAAAGAAACAAAATTTAATCCGACAACTTCCAATTATTGAACAAGGAAAAGCGTAAAATAACATGTTACAAGAGGGTGGAAGGACAAAAACCACCTTCTGCTCTTTCTTTCTCTAATTGAAGACTTCCACTTCCTCATAAACCACCTCTGTAATAATTCTAAAATTAAAAAAAAAGTAAAAGTAAAAAATAAAAAATAAAAAATAAAAAAATAAAAAAGAAAGAAACTCTTAATAAGTGATGGTCTATATGAGCATGATGGTCCTTAGGGACCATCACTGTTTTCAAAATCTTTTGGTTAAGTTTCTTTTGTTTGCTCCTGCCTTGCCACGTCAAGTGGACGTGGGCTTTAAGCATATAAGGGGTATTGTAATGGTTACACCTCGTTTATGAGGTGTCACTTAATAAAATATTATAATAAGGAGTCGTAAGAGTTTAAATACGAGAGGTGAAGACTCCCACCCTAGAAAACTTTTGAAATCTTTTCCTTTCTGGTCGAAACACAGTGAGCTCCTCTCCCTAGCCGAATTTTTATCGGAAGCTCCCTCTCAAATATTTTAGGTAAGTGACATCGT